ACTCCCTTGCTGGAAAATACTTCATCAATCAGGACCACGCAAAAAAGCCTCCATGGATTTCGTCCACCCAGTTTTTTCTTTGATGGGATTTCTCGACTGCTGTCACATTGGCAAAAGTGTGCTGATTCGAATGGTGCTTATTTGGATTAAATCCGATGAGTGTTAAGAAAGTTATGATCGTTTAAAGTTAAACACTCAAAACCTGCAGAACTTTCCGGACAACCTAATAATAGAAAACGAGTAATGCGCACGATATGATGCAATCTTGTCACTTGCTCGCTGCTACTGGTGAAGGACGGGTCTGGCACCGCGCCAAGCTCATCCCGCCTGGCAAGCCCTTTCGTCCGAAGCGAACAGTACAGTATCACTTGCATACAATGTCTCCACTTTGAATCCACTAAGGCTTTCCTAGACCTTGAATCTCCGAATTCTCATCGTGGATGCTTTTTTTAGGAATTAGTGCCTCCACTTTCGTGGAGCACGTCAGACTGAATGGAAGCAAAAATCAACTTATCATGGTCACCAACGAAAATGTACAGCCGTATGATCGTGTTTTGCTGACAAAGGTTCGATGTTTTGAATATTATGTGCATGCATCAGCTGTGATGCTTTCAATTCAAACACCTTCCCCCTTATGCAAGTGCTCATAGAATAGAGCTGCTTCACTTTCAAACGAATATTCACCATAGTCGAGGGTCAGAATGTTTATAAGCAGTCTTTAACACGTTGACGACAATCGCGCTTTGCGGGAAAGCGCCGTGGGACAATGGCGTGTTTTCGCATGCGTCCGCTTTGAGCCACCGGTGGCTCATATTGTCCCTCGTGGACCACTTTTTTGCCGCTATGTCAAATTTCGCAAAATGATTAGTCAGTCGTGCAGGGACTGCTATTTCAACCATCCTTGACCCTATTGGATGCCATCTCATGCCCCGCCCTCTGCGATCACGCCCACTTTTTAGCTCGTGATTTCCAAAATGTGTGCCGTTAACTTCTGTTTCTCAGAATTTTCTTGGAATTTTCTGCTTTTCACACATTACAATGATTCATAGACGCCCTCACCGACACATAGCCGGCCACGCCATAGTCGGTGTCAAAAAAATCGCTGGCGCCAAAGTGGCGCCAGGTGGCGCCAACACTGGAAGGCAACGATATTCGTGACAAGGATGTCAAATAACCTAGCTATGGAGGTTTCTATCGCATTCGGTGCCAAAAAGACTGCTAGCGCCGAAATGGCGCCTACTGGCGCCATATGGCGCCAACGACAAATAAGATCTCACGTTCATGATCAAAGCCCCGCGCAGTCCCTGCAGCCAAGGTTCCGTCCAAAAAGAACTATTTTGGAGGTTTCTGCCGCAGCAGTAGCTAGTTGAAAATTCAATTTTTAATTCAAAATATCTCATGGGGGCAGCAACATTTTTCTTGCTCATCCTTGTTGGAAACTCACCTTCCACAGGTTACTCGAAAGCAAGAAAAAGATCGATTGAGACTGCCGGCAATAACCCAAAAGTGATGGAGAAAGTTATGAGCCACGGTGGCTCAGAATGTCGTCAACGTGTTAAGCTGCGAGCAAATAATCTTGACTATTAATCAACTGTATGGTGCAGTAAAGGATCCAATGATAAACAATTGTTTTTTCACTCTGAACCCTCGTTCAGAGGCCATCATCTGAAGCCAAGGATATACGATTCCGAAGTGATGATTTCTACAGCGACAACCACATTCTGATCATGATGGGCACCAAGGTAAACGTCAAAAATTCATCACCTTCCGCACGAAAGTGGTTACAAGCAACAAGGCACCTTACAAACCTCAAAAAGCATAGGAGTCGTCACTATGTCAGTGTTGAATCTCATCTTCAGCGCCAGTATCTCTACACCACTTATAGCAAGGATAGTTGAGAATTTTCTCGAAATCAACAACTTTTTGCCAAGGGTTTCTTTTAGAGAACAACGAATCGGGCGAACGCTGTAGTTTCATTGGGCAGGTTTGTCTTGCTCCCAGCAACCAGAGTCACGCGTTCTCCTCTGCGCCACGTCGGCTCACTGAGCATCGGAAGGTGTTTCATCACATCTTTCGGGTGTTATGGTGTTACGCACTAATCTTCATTTTCACATAATTAGCTACAGCTGTTTTGCTACTGTTGCTACTGCTTTGTAGTTTCAACATTATTCTTTTACAGTGCGCTTCATTGCTATACGCCGTTAATTTCCCAAAGTATTTCTCGAAACAGTGACCCGATTTCGCGATGTACACTACCAGGTTCTAACGATATATCCTGTTTCCTTTCCCCATGAATGCATAACGTTGAAAGCTAGCTCCATAGGACCCGATCCTTGATGCGTGCGACACTGTGCTTCGAGCAGATTCCAGACTTCGCATGACGCGCGTCGACGAGCTATAGCGCGTGTCGACGCGCTGCAATTGCCACGGAGCTCCAAAGCCGGATGCGGACGCAGCCGTAGGCAGTCAGTGCCGATCGATACCAGTTTGCGTGATTAGGCAACATCCACCACCCTGTTCCCTCTACTCTCCCGAAACACAAGTAGACGACGTCCATCAATTCCTGCGCTGCGTCGCAGATGGAAATCCATGGATGCTGGCCGTCTGCGGCTACGTTCGCATGTATAGCATTAATACGGTGTTGCAATGGTCGACGCGTGTTACAGAGCGTTACAGCGCGATATTGCGAGGCCTAAACGCTGCCTCAGCCGAACTAGGCAAAATTTAGACAATGGCTCCGCATCTGCTTGCGAATCATTTTGCGCAACCATCGAAAAATTGTGAAGGGAGGAAAGCGAGAGAGCACAGATGTCACATCTATCCGTCTAAGCTTGCGAAAGTAAAATGGAAAACGACTAATGAGTTGTAAGTGCTGCAGTAGCGCAGTGTTACATCACACTTTCGTCAGAAAGTTCCTTTCATTGAGTGGAAGCTCTGAGAGTGCTATAAAATGGTCGAGTGGTAACCATTAGGGCATGCCGATAGAAATAATACCTCTTAGAATAGCGGGAAATTTTACCGAGTCAAGAAATCCTACTATATATAATCCGCTAAGTGTGTCTGTTGGTGTGTGTGTGTGTGTGTGTGTGTGTGTGTGTGTGTGTGTGTGTGTGTGTGTGTGTGTGTGTGTGTGTGTGTGTGTGTGTGTGTCTGTATGTGTGTTTGACCGGAAATTCATAACTTCCTTCAAAACAGCGATAAAGCGCTCAAATTGATAAGTGATGTAGGGGGTGGGCAGGAACATTATTGGTGGGTGGCAGGAAGTGATAACAGTTGATAAGATACCATAAGGAGCCTTAGAAGGGTGGGTTACCTAATTCATAACACCGGCCAGAGCAACGACCGGACGTTGGATCCAAGTAAGATAGGGGGCAGGATGGGAACATTATTGGTGGGTGGCAGGAAGTGATAACAGCTGATAAGATACCATAAGGAGCCTTAGAAGGAGTGGGTTACCTAATTCATAACACCGGCCAGAGCAACGACCGGACGTTGGATCCAAGTAGTAAGATAGGGGGCAGGATGGGAACATTATTGGTGGGTGGCAGGAAGTGATAACAGCTGATAAGATACCATAAGGAGCCTTAGAAGGGTGGGTTACCTAATTCATAACACCGGCCAGAGCAACGACCGGACGTTGGATCCAAGCAGTAAGATAGGGGGCAGGATGGGAACATTATTGGTGGGTGGCAGGAAGTGATAACAGCTGATAAGATACCACGAGGAGCCTTAGAAGGGAAAGGTCACCAACTCTATAGCGCCGGCCACAACAGCGATGGGACGTTGGTTCCAAGAAGTTAGATCAGGATCAGGATGGGACAATTATTATTGGGTGGCAGGACGGCAGAAGACGCCCCCGAAGTTTATAGCACGAGTTTTACTGAGGGAACTGCTTCCGGCAAGTCATTCAGAAGGGGTTACAGAGCATTCGTGAAGGGATATAAGTTGTATATAGTGTGAGAAAAGGGCTGATAAGCACCAGTACCTGTTCGCATCCTTACTGCTCAGCCTGAACTTGAGCACCGGTGCCCACGAAACAATGGGCAGAGGCTTATGAGTCAACTTATTCCATCCCTTAGCGATAGGGTTATGACTGATTCGACCGCTAAACACTCGAGAGTCGACAAAAATTAAAAGCTTTGGAAGCTGCTTAACGAAAGTACTAGGATGTGTTGTCCATGTTATTACCATCAAAATTCTTTCAACCGCTAAGCTGTCCTATTTCCAACGAATGGTGAGTGTTTTTAGAAATGTGATAAGCACCAGACATTAGCAAATGTTCATTAAACAGGAGAAACATAATGAAATGGGCCGTATTTCAAAAAATGGCGCTCGGGCCCAGTGTTCGGGGTCAGCACAGGAATCCTGTCAGCGATTAGTACCATTACCATAGATTCAACCATGCGCGCAGTAGTGCTCAGCCAAGCTGGTAGATGTATAATGTGTGAACTGAACTCCGTTCCACTACAGACATTCCCTCCGTAGTTTCTCATTTATTTCTATATCTGACTAAAATATTGCTGCAGGTCGGTGGAATTGACACCAATAGGCACAGCGTTGCTATGTCCACTGGGAAGAGGTGGCGGTACAGTAAACTTGTGTTGGCTCTCGGTGTTGTACCAAAAAAGCTGAATGTCCCTGGAGCAGACTTGAAGGTAGGCACTATGTTTAGTATTGAATCCAATCGGCCACCAAACATACTAAAATGTTTAGTAAACGTATTAGTAGGTTCAGTGGACAATTTCCTCAGTAGTTTACAGAGCACAAGTTTGAAGCTAGCATAGGCGGGTCAGTAGCACTGCGCCACATAATGATAGTAAACATATAAATCTGACAAAATCCCGTCTCACACGACGTTTTCGAAAATGCCCAAGTAGGAACTAATTCACACGCCAACACCAAAAACCAGTGTGAGAGAACAAGTTTTTTCTTCATTTTTTTTGAAAGTGGCCACTCTAGCAACTCCACAAAATGATAGTTCCACCAAACAAATCGATTCATCCAATAACAAGTGTACAACAAAATGAATAAATTGTTGCTTCGCAATCTAGTGGAGCTCCATTTCTTCGAACAAGTTGGAAGATGCGGTTATCCAAATCCAATCCAAGTTGCTCGAATAGAGGTCTTGAATATTGTTTCGTTTCTGTTGTCGACATGCTGCCATGCATCACTGATTGACTCCTTAAGCTCACGGACATTGTGGGAATCGCGCATTGTTCGCATAGATCTTGCGCACCATGAAGCCCCACACATTCTCGATTGGGTTTAAGTCGGGGCTATTCGCTGGCCAGGGCAAAAGAGCGATTTGATGACGACTGAACCACGCTCGAGTGCTTCGACTGGCATGAATTGGTGCATTATCTTGCAGAAAAACGAGGTCTTCTTGCCGATTTCTACCATAAAGGATTGAACCTTTCCGCATGATGTTTAAAGGCAGCGCCCGCGTTCATTTGTTGTTCCCACGCCCTCTTTGGATATCGTAGCTCACCCTATGAGGATGGTGGACGTACTAGTTTCGCAACTCAAAAATGCGAGAGAATAGCGGCGCCCGCTCGTGAAGAGTCGGCCACCCCGCCACATGGTGGGTTACGTGACATCTTGAACTTTTGTGCATGGTCCTGTTACGAAACCCTGTGACGCAGACGGATAGAGGGCAGCGGCTGCCAAAGCATCGAAACGTGCAAAAAACGTATGGCGAGCCAGGAAACGGGATTTTTCAAGGGGAGGGGACTCCGGGGTGGGTGAGCTACTTATAGTCGGTGAAAAGCTGGAGTGAGCGAAGTCACAACGGCCATAGAGTGCCATGCGGACGAGAGAGTGCAGAGAAAAAGAGAAGATCGAAAGAGAAGATAGAAGGGATTGAGCTCAAGTTGTCCGACCTGGCGACCACCACGTACTTCAATTCTAATGGTTGCCTGATGGAGCGGTTGTTCTACTGCTAACTCTCTCCACTCCGAATGGTGAGTGTGGTGAAGGGAAAATAGCTGATACCAACAAGTGAGAACTCGTGCGGGCGCGCCTTCTCTTCGCCTTAAAGGCAACGCCGCGTTCAATTTGATGAGTTATGGGATTCAGACAGTGACAACAAGGTAGCAAATAGTTCATTAGTGAAGAAAAATGCAAAAAAATCATCGGATATGCCCTATATAGGACCCCACGCCGAGCTGAGGTTGTACGTGCTTGAGGCGAAGAGAAGGCGCGGCCGCACGAGTTCTCACTTGTTGGTATCAGCTGTTTTCCCTTATCACCTCACTCTCACCATTCGAAGAGAGAGTTAGTAGCAGAACAACCGCACCATCAGGCAACCATTAGAAATGAAGTTGGGCGTAGTGGTCGCCAGGTGGGCGGGGTGGCCGACTCTTCACGAGCGGGCGCCGCTATTCTCTCGCATTTTTGAGTTGCGAAACTAGTACGTCCACCATCCTCATAGGGTGAGCTACGATATCCAAAGAGGGCGTGGGAACAACAAATGAACGTGAGCGCTGCCTCTAAACACGTACAACATTAGCTCGGCGTGAGGCCTTATGTAGGGCATATCCGATGAAATTTTTTGCATTTTACTTCACTAATGAACTACTTGCTACCTTACTTGTCACTGTCTGAGCCCCATAACTCATCAAATTGAACGCGGGCACTGCCTTTGAATATGACGTTTAAATAATCGGAAGACTTCATTTTCTTCGAAACGAAACACAACTTTAGACGTCCCGTTGATGTGATGGCAGCCCAGACCATAATACCACCTCCTCTGAAGTTCCGCCTGGAAAAATGAAGCTTCTCTTTCCTAAGATCGTGCCAGTAGGATCGATTTCCGTCTGGACCGTCGCAGTTGAATTTTTTCTCATCAGAAAACACGACCTGGAGAAAAAAAACTGAAAAGACAAGACAGACAAGCAGTAGGGCACCGCTGCCATAAGCTCACCTTACTCAGTCAGTTCGGCAACATCTCCTAGCAAAGAGCGAAAGAGGACTTCCAAAGCTCTCCTTACTTCCACATCCTGCAGGTTGCTTGGCAAATTATTGATCACATGATGACTGCGGCCCAAATCCCGTGCGATTTGACGTTTGACAGTCCTTGAGTCTTCTTTGCGATTATCTGTCCTTTTTCAAAGTCCGATAATGAATGTCCTCTTGCCATAGCCTAGAAAAGGCAGAGAGTCACAATGATGAGACAGTTTTACCCAACAAAATGAGACGCAGCGAGAAAACATGAGGTGGAACCATCATTCTATGGAATAGTTAGAGTGACCATTTGTCAAAAAAATGAAGAAAAAAATTTACTTTTTCAAGTTAGTTTTTAATGTTGACATGCGAAGGCATTGCAACTACCACAGTTTTCGGGGTCACTTTTGAAAACGTAACGTCAGAAGGGATTTCGTAAGATTTATTGGTGGAACTATCATTATGTGGCGCAGTGCATATGATGTTTTGTAGATTTGAAGAAGGGCTTAAGGCCCGAAACGTAGCCAAGATATAAACGACTTGGAAGAGTTTCATTTATCAATCAAACAGAAGACTTGCAATGAGAAATGCAGTTGAAGTTGTTTGCGATGACTAGATCGTTCACATGAGAGCAACACTCGAACATTTCAGAACATCTACACTCTCCGTAGTGCACACGACGCGAACGCTATCGCTCAGCATGCTGAAGAGAAACGCGTAGTCTGCATAGGAGGATCCTTCTTAGGTATAGTTCCATTTCCGTTTGTCATGTTTTGCAGGAAAGATGGAGTCTGTCTGTGGTTGCATGTTCCTGAGAGGTGGCAGGCGTAGCGTACTTCATTTAATCACGATGTAGGATGGGCTCGTGGCATATTTCGATTCGAGAAGACTGTCGACTTTTCTTATGCTAGATAAGCAAGATTATGGTCGTCCCGGTATCAAAATATTAGGTTGTTCGAAAAGTCCTGCGACACTTTGATTGAATTGTTCTAGAAAAAGACCAAAAATCATTTTGGATGTTTTTATCCCTGATTAGTGGAGACTGTCCTCTGGGGTTTCTGCACATGGGTATATCATGACTTTGTGGAAGTTTTCAAAGCTTAAAAGTCCCAGAGATCGAGGTACTTTTCGACCTATCCCATATTATGAGTTCCTGTAGGGCAACTCCGCCGTAGTCGAGGAAGCTAACACTTACG